CCCTCCTCAGTGACAGAGGTGCAGACTCAGACACTCTAGCCCCAATGTTTATGCCCTGGGGTTTTCGGGGTTCCCTGCCATGCGTGGAATCCCCCACACACACACTGAAATTCCTCCAGAGGCTGAAACTCTCCTGAGAACGAATCCGCACTGCCCCCCCCCCCGGGTTGCATCCTCCATTGCCTGTGGTTTCAGAGGCATCGCTGAGATTTCTGATTTCCTCTTTAGGGTCGCCTGGTCCTCCTATGCCTCTGTGAGCAGCACTTTCCTACTCCACGGACTATGCCGGAGGCAGGTCAGGGCATTGGGTCCCGTCCTGAGCCGGGGTGAGCGCACCTGACCTTGATCCCTCTCCCAAATCAGCTCATGTTCCCAGGGGCTGCAGCTAGGACTCACATTTCTCTTCGAGGAGCACAGTTCCATCCACAACACCCAGTCTTATCATCCACCACCCCCAGGCACAGCCTTGACCTGTGAACCTAACCCTACAGCATGTGCAGTATCATAAACCCGCATTCGGGGCCCCAAAACTGGGTCCCTGGCGCAGGCCTTGAAGTTTCACAAGGGTGTGAAACATCCTGGCTGCTTGGGGCACCGTCGTTTGCAGGCCCTGGCCTGGACCCACTGGCATTTTTAGGGTGACTATGCACACCTTGGTGGGGTCCTCCTCTCTGCTGTAACTGTAACCCTCAGATAATGAGATCACTCCAAGAAGTGACTGGTTGAGGTGGCTGCTGTTTCCGATTCCTGTGTCCAGGCCCTGTGTGCAGAGGGTGATGGAGAGCAGATCTCACTCAGTTGTGGAACAGATCTGTAACCCTAACAGTGACCCAACAATGGAGCTCTGGAAGGGAGACCCAGCTACAGGGCCGTGCAGCCTGACCACAAGGGCTCACTTCAGGACCAAGGGCACTGCCACAGAGGCCTTCAATCAGAGTGGACAGAGGATAACACATGGCCAGTGCTCAATAAACAAAACCGGAAGTGATGGCAGGGCGAGGCTCCTCGGGGAGCTCTCCCTAGTCCGGGGTCCAGGAACCTCTGTCCCCTTCCAATGCTCGTAGAACCATTTCATGTTTCTGCAGGTCCGTGCTGATACGAGGTACCGCCACTCTCCCTTTGCAGCTGAGGAGAGGAAAGCCCATTCTGCTTTACCGGCATGATAGAGATCACACAGCTCCAGGCACGGAGGCAGGATCCACTCCTAATCTTCCCGGCTGTAAAGTCAAGCTTTCATCTCAAAGCACCCGGACAGCTAAAAATCTTCCAGAGATTAAGTAGTGCAAGGCTGGTAATTTCCAGGGCCACCAAACCTAAGGGACTGGCGGTGCATACTGACCCCGGACTGTGGTAGAGGCCAGGGACTGGGGCACGGAGGAAAGAATCTGATCCCTGACAAACTTCATTCATGAAAGCAGTGCACAGATGCAAGCCTGGAGCCGCCGGTTTTGCTCTGAGAGCCGCCTGGAACCGTGGAATGGAGATGAGCTCGGGGTGATTGGGAAACCTGCAATTTTCTTTGTTCCCAAAATGACCAGTTGAAACCCTGTGGGAGGCAAGATAGACACCGGAACAGTAAAGAAAAAGGGGGGGGGGGAGGCTCTTCTGAATGACCAAGCTGTGGGGCACAGAGGAGCTGCAGGAGCAGGGGTGTCGTAAGTGAAATGACCCCAGCACAGCCTCCCTCAGAGAGCTGGAGAATGGTCCCTGCATCCCCCAGGAGCAGAGATCACAGAGCAGGGTGCACAGGAGAGGCACTCAGAGTGACACCATCAACCATGGGTCTCAAAGGTAGCTCCCAGCACAGGGACACTGTCCAGTCCAGGGACCTCGCCTGACCCACACAGCCTCCAGCCCCATTCCTAGCCCACTGAACTGAGCATGCAGGGCTGGATTTTACCGAGGCTGCAGGTGGATCTGCTGACTAAGGTCTGCAAACCATTGCTCGGTGGAAGAGGATTTCATCCCTTACAGCTACCATTCCCCAGAGAGAAGAGAGACACAAAAACACAAAGTAGAGTGTCACCATTCTGGGAAAGCTAGGGAAAATGATTCATTCCTTCAATATTCACCAAAAGGAAACATCACAAAAGAAGCCCAGCAAATAGTTCATGGAAGAGCCAGGCCACCACCACACCTAGCAGCTGTACAAGCCATACTTGCTGACAGTTCAGTTTGTTAACCAAAACCAACAGCATTCTCTTTAAATAATTAAAAATAAGATTTAAAGTTAGTGAAACGTACGGCGTCAGCAGCAAATTTGGCTGAAAACAACATATGTCTGAGATAAATTCAGTGTTCCCATCAGTCATGCACTTTAAAGAAAAAATTAAAATTTAAAAAGTCCAGAGTCCAAGCCTGGCATGGGAGTATATCCCTATAATCTCAGCACTCGAATCCAGGAGGCTGAGGCAGGAGGATCACTGTCACTTTGAAGCCAGCCTGGGTTACATAGTATATTCAAGGCCAGCCTGACATAGCGAGACACTGTCTCAAAAAAACAAACCACAAACCCCCCCCAAAAAAGAAAGAAAGGGTCCAGAGTCCAAGCTGAACTTAGTGATGCCTGCCTATAATCCCAGCACTCAGACACAGTAGAACCACTGTGAATTTGAGGTCAATTTGGGCTACCTAGTAAGTTCAAGACCAGCCTGAACTACACAGCAACACTTTGGCTCCAAAAAACAGAACAAAACAAACAAAGAGTCCAGAAGCCTGGGAAGCCATGACATGTAAGACACCAATTTCCTAACGCAAGAAGTTAATTATTGAAGCCCTTAGGAGCTTGTTTGGAAGGTGACAACCTCTATCGCCACTAACCCGCTGGTGACACACATACTGATGAGTTGAAAACTGGACCAGTGACCGTGGCATCACCTCGGGACTGACCCATCTGAACCATGACATCACGTGTCCCCACTGCAGTGCGTTCGTTTTCCCTGTAGGTGTCTCACCAAATATCATGAGTGTCCACGTCATTAGCGTACAGACTGCAGCTCCAGACCTCTGCTTTCCTTCACAAACTGCAGCCTCAAAACAGGAAGGAGTATGCTGGCACAGAGCCTGTGTTGGAGAAGACGCCCGAGCCATTCGCCAGCCGTCCTTGGAAGACAGCACCACACGGATGGCTCTAAGCGAGGGCTTGAAGCCCACTTCTGACATGGGAGACATCAGGGAGCTGGAGGGCTGCTCTGCACGGGAAGCTGAAACAGAGCCACAGAGTCCAGCCCTGAGCCACAGGGTGCAGTCTGCTGCGTGCCCCCTCAGACCCTCACCCTGGGAGCTCCCAGTGCTCCCCAAAGCCATGCAGCCCAGAGCAGACCCCAACAGGCAGGTGCTGCTGGGCTCCCGAAGTTCCCCTCCTCCGGCTCCCTTTCCCAACCTTGCTATATTCAGAGACACCTAATTATATCACCATATGCTTTGAAAAAGAACATTTCTTTCACTGCATTTAAACACGCAGATGGTGAAATATTTACCAGTGCTGCTTCTGGAGGAGGAGGAAGCCATGTGGTGTATGACACAGGCGAAGGCCTTCGAGGTGAACTTCTGAATAGACTGATTCGTAATTTTCTTGACATATTTTTTGCATGTTGGATTAATTAATCGGTGTCGTGAGACTATGTCATTTCCTATCAAGATGTGAGTGTACATAGGTTAATTTAGCAGTGGATATCATTTTAATTGGATTTGAAATGGGATGCGGCTCTCTAAGGCTCCTCAGCTGGTCAGGGTAGGGAGAAGTATTAATTAGCGCTCTTCAGAACGCAAACTCACTGTCTAAACGTGCTGTGGCCCTCTGGAGTTCATGGAGCTGGGAGCCCTTCCCTTTTGGGCCCAGCTCAGGCTCCGGGATCCCAGGCTACAAAAGAGGAGCTGAAAGTGAGATGCACCGTGGTGTTTAAAGGATGCTGTCACAGGCCTCCTGTGACTGAGTTTTAAATGCACAGACTGCAAATGCACTTGTAAGGTCAGGAAAAATTTGACTTCATGTTTCTTTGTGTCTTTTTCGTTTTCATTAGTCCACATTTGTAGTGCATAAAGATGACATGTATCGTGGGGAGCTGGTGCACAGACACCTTGATTTTTTTAAGACAAATGGCGTGGAATTTATTGTGCCTGGGTGCAGGCAGACAGAGGGTGGAAAGGCCGTCTATAGGGAGAAAGAGAAGTGGGCTTTTTTATGTTGCTTGAAAGAAGGCAAGGGTCAGGAGGCTGGACGACCTCAGTGAGCATCCGTGACCGTCACCTCTAAAGGCTGGGGACGTCTGGGGTAAATGTGCGGCTGCCTTCGGGCATCTCAGTGCTTGGAAGGTCCCACGCTCCATCTTAGCACTTTTCATGGTATCTGGTCCTTGCCGAGGGTACCGATGCTGACCTGGGTTTTCTCCGAGGACCCTGCTGCTGACCAGCAGCTAAGGTGCTGGGGAAATGAGGTCTGAGTCAGACTGACAGGCAGGTACACCGAGTTCGTGAATGGATTCTGGGGAAAGACAGAGGTGCAGATCAGGAAAAGTCAGAAGGGAAAAGGACAGGGGTAGGAGTGAGGAGCAGCTCCTGGGGGCAGGGGGGCCCACACGGGTCGCCTGGATTCTTTCCATCCATGACCCTTTGCCTCCCTCTCACTGCTTCCAGCTCTCAGTCCCTTTCCCCTCCACAAAAGCTCTACTTTTGTGTTTGTTCTTCAGTTAAAGACATCAGGTCAGGAGGAGCCAGCCCGGGGAAGGAGAGAGCAGCCTCCCCACCCACTACAAGCCAGCCACCGGCTGCCTCTGCCTCGAGGACCTGAATCGTTTGATTGACTTGGGATGCCTAACGCCTAGCGACCATTTAGAGCTCAACAATGTACTATAATTATTGTAGGTTTCCTATTGCCTTATTGCTGTTTCGATTCATTTTATTGCTCTGTTTCATTCCCTTTAAAATTAAATTTTTTTAAAAAAAAAAAAGACATAACAGTACAGCGAGCCAGGCACGCCATACCCACAGCAGCACAGTTCATAGTAAATGCATCCTGAAAGCAGCCCGTGTATCCAGCAGCAGAAGAACGGATAAGGGAACGCAGAATTTACACCCAGCAGAGCACTGCTCTGCCAAGACCTGTTTCTCGGGTGCCTTAATCTACTGCAGTCAAACAAAAAGCACTGGCTAGTGTCACCAAAGTCATTTAAACAAAGATTCAGCTAAGTGTGTGTGAGAGACACACTTGTCAAAATCCCCATCATGCAGGCTGGGGTCAGAAAATGTGTGCCTCGACTGTGGCCCTTCCGTCAGCTCCCAGTGCAGCTCTGGGCTCCTTAATCCATCCTCAGGGCTCTGCACCTTTATTCACACAACAAGGATCCTGCACTATGATATTAGCGTGGTCCAGGAAGCCTCGTCTAAGAAGCCCAGGTTCATGAAGATGGCAGAGAGGAGAAAACAGTGCAAATGCTGAGCCTGTGATGAGTTCTAGGTGTTATTTTAAACAGAAAATAAATTTATTCTTATTTATTGTAAATATTATAATGTCCTGTAACAGCATTAAGAGGTCACTGGTTAATATTCTAGGATTCTGGGCAAAAGAGGACCACAGGGATTGAAATCAGCATGGGGAAGGAGTAGAGGGAGGTGGGCAGCCGGGGGCAGCTGTCAGGACAGCAGTAACCAGTGCACTACTTCATACAGTGTCCAAAGCTGTAGAAGGACACACCGCATGGAGTGAATTTGTTTAAGGTTTAAAAAGTTTTAATAGGCTCTCACTGTGTAGACCAGGCTGGACTTGAGTTCACAGCCCACCTCCTGCTTCAGCCTCCCATGTGCTAAGAGGTACGTCCTACCATACCCAAGCCTCTATGTAAAATTTTAAAACAGAAAGTTACTTGACAACTTTCCTAATCCCTAAACTATCTGAAGAACTAGGCCCAGAAACTTAGCAGGCATAAGAAAGACCAGTTATTAGTCAAGCCCCACAGTCAGCTCAGGGAGACAAAGCATCACAACCGTTAGACCATGGGTGCCAGGGATTGTGCCATGATATCACCATCAGGGAATGGAGCTTGAGAAACAGACCACAGGATTCCCAACCACCACTGTACCCACTGCCCCACATCCTGAATAGCAACACGTCTACAGTACCCCTCTACACCAAAGAGGACTTTCTACCTCTTGGGCAAACCAGCAACTGGTTCAGTCACAGGTGGGTGCCAAAGACTAGTTAAGCCAAGCCAGGCATGTAGTGCATGCCTGAAGTCTCAGCAACTGGGAAGCCGAGGCAGGAGCACTTCTGCAAGTTCAAAACCAGCCTGGACTACATAGTAAGACCTCAAAGAGAAAAAAAGATTAGCTAAGCCTAGATCACGTATCCATAGCTGCAAGGGACACTGGAAAGATGAATGTTGCCTTCAGCTTTATAATGATAAGCACATGCTGCCTCCCTCTAAAATCATTAATAGGTGGAAAATTATCTTGAATACAGAGATGAGTTCCAATACTAGGGATCAAAATATAAACTGACAGGGAACACAAAATAAAGGTCAGGGCCAGAGCCAAATGAATACTCGTTGAATTGCTTTTATAATAAAGATGGAGCAAAGCCTTTCAGAGAAGCAGCAACTGGTGAATCGCTTTATCAGTAGGTAATTTCCTAGAATCCCAGCATTCTAGAGGACTGCAAGTCTGACACCAACAACTTATAAGGCCCGGCCTCAAAACAAAAAATATTTTAAAAATCTGAGATATAGCTTAGTGTGAAGGCCCTGGATACCATCAAAAATCAATAGCCTTGAATCTCTCAATGAGGAGAAAAAAAAATCAATAGCCTTCCTGTACACAAACAACAAACTCACTGAGAAAGAAATTAGGGAAGTGACACCTTTTAAAATAACATCCCCCCAATAATGAAACACCTAGGAATCAATTTAGCAAAAAATATAGAAGACCTCTAAGTTGAAAACTACAGTACTCTGTGTTGGGCGCAGGCGCTCAACATACCATACCCCACCCGGGACTAAGGACCACGCCAGCTTCCGCAATGCGCTGCGTCCCTCTTTAAATTAGCCAACCCATGCGCACTTCGTGCTCACTCCGTACTCTGTGGCAACTCCTGATTGGCCACAGCTGGACATGGTAGCCGGAGCCTGCATCCCATTCCCGCCCTGCTTCCTTGTGGCAGCCTGTGATTGGTCACGGCCAAATATATAAACCAGAGCCCGCGTAAATAAACTAGCAGTTAACTGTTGTCCACAAAAGCGTCTCCTGTCTCCTGTTTCATTGGAGCTGCGCCGGTCACTCTGTAAAAGGAGATTGAAGAGGATACCAGAAAATGAAAAGAGGTTCCTTCTTCCTGGGTAGGAAGAACCAACATCGTGAAAATGGCCATACTCCCAAAATTGTTACACAAATTTGATGCAATCTCTATCAAAATTCTAATCACGTATCTTGCAGAATTAGAGAAAACAATCCTACAGAGCACAATGTATGTACCATTGTTGCCCCCAATTGACATGTTTGGAAATTTTCTGTAGTTTTCTTCTTCTTCAGTGTGCTTTGAAATTTTGTTGCAGTCTTCTTCCTTCTATTCTTTTTCTTCTCTTCCTCCTCCTTCTCCTTCTTTTCTTCCTCCTCCTCCTCTTCCGCTTCTTCTTCGTATCTTTTTATCCTTGAAATAAAATGGATTTGGAAAAAAAGGTAAACAATCCTAAAATTCATTTGGAACCAGGAGACCTCGAATAGCAAAAGCAATTCTGGGCAACAAAGGCAAGGCGGGGGCATCACAATCCTTCATTTGAAATTATAAACAGAGCTATTGTGATTAAAACAGCATGGTACTGCCAAAAAGAAGAAGGCCCCAGGATCAATGGAACAGACTAGTATTGGAGGCTATGAATTCATACACCCAGGACAGTGGCAGGTTTGGAGCAGCTGGGTCTCTGCCCCTCCCAAGGCACTGCCCTCCCAGCCCCCATCACACTGTACTCAATGTGCTTCTGTTTCTCATTTTATCCTTCCCTGCACCCCTCATACAGGCAGTTGGGGATCTTAGCCAGGTCCCTGACAGATGAGAAGATGCAAAAATAATTCTAGACACACTCAGCCACCTTATCTCTGACTAAGGGGGTCAAACACATGCACTGGAAGAAACACAGCTTCTTCAATAAATGGTGCTGAGAAAACTGGCTTTGCACATGCTGAAGATTAAAATTAGAACCACATATTTTGCCACATACTAAATTAAAATCAAAACAGATAGACCTAAATATTACAGCCAAACACTAAACCTGCTAGGAGAGAGAATAGGTAAACGCTCTTGAAGGCATCGGTACAGCCAAAGACTTTATGAGCAAGACCTCAGTCGTATGGAAAACATTTTTAAGAAATCCACAACTGGGATCTCCTCTTATTAAAAAGCTTTTGCACAGGAAAAGAAATCACCAACAGAGTGAAGAGACAACCCAGAATGGGAAAACTTTTGCCAGCTCTTCCTCAGACAGAGAACAAATATCGTGTGTGTGTGTGTGTAAACATACTCCCAAAATTTAAAGACCCAATCCAAAAATGAGCATCTAAAATAAATACATGATTCTTGGGTATAGAAGTAGAAATGACAAATAAATATATGCAAAAATGTTTAATGGAAGATTTGCGCCTGTATTGTTTGAACAATTGAATGCAGATGTTTTGTGCACTGGATGAATAATTTGGGGGTGACAATGCATAATATACATACCATTTTTGCCCCCTGATTGATGTGTCATGAAATTTTGTTTTAATTTTTCTTTCTTTCTTTTGTTTTTTCTCCTTGAAATGAAATGAATTTAGAAAAAGAAAGAAAGAGAGGTCAGCCAGTGACAACTCCTGGCTGTGAGGAAACTCATCTCCACATCTGGGAGATAGCATGGTACCACCACTGTGGAAATGAATGTGGAGAGTTCTCAAAAAGCTAGGACTGGAGATCCCATTTGACCCAGCTATTCTTTTTCCTGGTATCTTCCTAAAGGAAGTAAAATCATCACACCACAGTGGTATATGCACAGCTAGGTTTACAGGTAATAGCTAATCTTGGAAACTGCCCAAATACCTTTCAACTGATGAATGGATAGAGAAGATGGGATTTTTCATGCAGTGGAATACTACTCAGCCATCAAGGATAAACGAGACATGTCTAGCTAAATGGATGCACCTTGAGACCATACTTTTAAGTGAAATAAATCAGACACACACTTAACTATCACACTGTTTTCTAATGTGAGAAACTGGAAGTGTAAATAAGGACCAAAATGTATATTATCAGGAACCCAGCCAAGAATCCCGACTGTCGATATCAAGAACCTGGCCAAGAGTCACAATTGTCAGTCTCAAGAATGTTTCGAGAAAAGAAAAAAACAGAGACAAGTACCATATTCCAACAATGGCTGGGAAATCAGTGTCTCTGGATCCCACCTCTTTCACGCCCAAAATAGCCACTATTTATTTGGTCTATACAGTGATAGGTGGAGCTAGCGAAGGATTACAGTCCGCCCAAAATCTCCAACTCCAGGGTGTGGATAATCAGACATAAGTCTGAAGTAGCTTGTCCTTGAGTATAATCGCCAGAAGACTTAAGAAGGCGTTGATGATCCCACGCTCAAAAGATCGACTGGAAATCCCAGATGGGCAGTGTCAACAACCCCAAGCCTTCCTTTCATCCCACAACCAGTCACTGTGAATTTGTGGTCCCCAACGATACATGTTGGAAAATGGGAAGAAATATTCAAACGGGAAGGGGTACAGGGGTGCAGGGGAGGGTAAGGAAAAATGGAAACAGTTTCCAAACATATGAAGGGGAGGAGGGTTGAAGGCAGGGGGGAGAAAGAGGAGAAGTAAGATGCGTCATGGGCAACTTCCTTGCGGCAAAGGTGATCATTACGTATCTCTAAAACGTGACAAAAAAAAAAAGAATTGCTAAAAAGACTAAAAAGTCATGCGCAGAGAGAGAGCCACGCTGCTCTAGAATCCTCCATCTCAAGCCACACTCAGTGGCAGAGACGGTGGGAGGCGAAGGTTTACTGTTCATGTCTTCCATGCTTGTAAGGTGTTCTGTTCTGCCATAAACCCAACAATTTACCAAAGCACTGATGATAATTCCCAAAGCACCTAATATAAAAGCCCGATTTTAACACCACAAAATAAAAGCAGCATTTCCAGAGTTAACTGCATGCATCCGGCCCCACCATATCCTGGCTGTGATGTTTCCCATCTGTGTTCTGATGATTTCAGGAGATTAAAAAGCTCCACAGGTGATTTTACTGTGAACTTCACAGCTTATTAAATTAAAATACAGAGACCTGATAATATGTCTTTATCTCCCATTTGCCCTGCAGGAAAATCCTGTAGAAAAAAATTAGGAGTTTGAAAAATGTGTTTCACCGGGTGTGACGGCACACACCTGTAATCCCTTCACTCGGGAGGCTGAGGCAGGAGGATCACAGTGAGGTCCAGGCCAGCGTTCCATAGTGAGTTTAAGGCCACCCTGAATCGCATATGAAGAACCTGTCTCAAAAAATACATAAATAAATAAATAAAATATAAAAGAGCTCATTCAAGATTAACATTCTGTCATAAACTATAGGTAGTTTATACTGTACAGGAATATTGTTTGCACACAATGTCTTTACCGTAGCATTTTAAATAATTTTACTTATCGACTTGAAGCGCGAAGTGCCTAACACTACTTTCTGGATGAAAATTTCCAGAAGGAAAACTGAATAGCTGCTATTCGGCCAGCAGGTGGCGCCAGACCCCCAAAAATCTGGTGCGGCGGCGGAAGGCGCCCGCCACGCTGGGAGTTGTTCTTCTGCTCGGCTTTCTCTCCGCAGACTTTGCGGGTTTCGGCACCTGCTGGAACCGCCCTGCGGCGCAGGTAAGCACTGCCCCGTGCGTGCAGAACAGGGTAGCGTGAAAATCTTACCTGCTCTCGCACTGTTTCATTTTAAAGTCAAAACAACATTGCAAAAATGTATCCAAAGCTGGACGTGGCGGGGCACGCCTGCCATCCCAGCACTTGAGAGGCTGAGGCAGGAGATCGCCAAATTTGAGGCCAGCATGGACTACATTGCCAAACTCTGTGGAGGTATTTCGGACGCATTCTGAGGGCCCTGCATAGCGCTGCTGCTCACGGAGTTTCGCCCCCAGGGGGGACCCAATCTCCTTCCATCCACTCAGGGTGGACTAAGTCAGAAATGGTCATAAAAATAGAAACGTTATCATTTGCTTCCATTTACTCAGTTCTGCTAGGACACGTTCGCGCGTGGATCACAGCTTACTCCCTTTCGCGGTCCTCTCCCTCCCTCCGCATCTGAGAAAGTTCTAACTCCATGCCTCCTATTATCCGCCCTTTAGATTGCTGTCTTTATAGTTTGGTTTCTCATGTAAGAGAGGCCCATGATACTTGAACTTGGGCATCTGATGTGCTTCACTTAGCATTGTGGTCCTAAGGTGCATCCATTTCCTACCAGCGACTCAGGTTTACCCTTCTTTTAGGGAAGAGCGATGCTCCTTGGTGTGTAAATACTCCTCTGAGTGTCTGTGTGTTCATGACTTGGTGTGAGGAGAAGGGTGACCTTGGCACCTGCAGGGTAAGGGCTAGTGGCCTAAATGGGTTTCTTTCTCTCCCCGCTCAGGTCTGATTGGCAGAGGCAACCACTAAGGGCGTGACCTGGAAATGTTTCTCTCTGTCTCTGTCTCTGTCTCTGTCTCTGTCTCTGTCTCTGTCTCCTCTGTCTCCTCTCTCTCTCTCTCTCTCTCTCTCTCTCTCTCTCTCTCTCTCTCCCTACTCAAGTCTGATTGGAAGAGGCAGCCAGTAGGGGCGTGGCCTGGAAAGGTTTGTCTCCCTCCCTGCTCAGGTCTGATTGGAAGAGGCAGCCCCTGAGGACGTGGCCTGGAAGGGTTTATCTACCTCCTGGGTCCTCTCTGCTCTCTGCTTCCTGTGCCTCATGGTGTGAACCTCTGTGCTTGTTGGTCGGCTCTGCAGTGCCCGCCCTGCCTTGGGGCTGCTGAGTATGAGCTGATTGTAAACCAAAACAGACCACCCCTCTTTGAACTTACAGGTGTTGGGTATTTTTTCCCAGCCAGGGGGAAAGTAACTCAAACATAAGGCAATTTTGTCTCTGTTTTCACTAGATCCTCGGTGCCTAGAATAACAAGTGGAATGTACTGTGAATTCAGTAAACATTTATTAAATAAATAAAAGGTTCAAATAATGTCTCCTGCATGGGTAAACATGAAATTGAGTTCTGATTTTAAAACTATTAAGTAAGTGGCACAAAACTCTGGGGTGATGTTGATTTTACTGAAGATTGTGTATGTAAAATAGAGAATGGATTTATTCTGATGCTCTTCATTAGCAATTGCTCCACTTCACAGGTAAAATGCAAATTTAAATTACATGGAGAATCCTGAAGTCTTAGAACAATGGGACCTGGGAAGCACTGCTGCAGAAGGTGGAGGGGCACCTGGCAAAAAGCCCAAGTCTGGCCAGGTGAAGAAGGTACCTAGGAGGAGGGGAAGCCCATCAGACGAGCTGTAGTGTGGACCAAGTTTACACGTGCCTTCTCCCCCACAGGGCAGTACGTGGAAGCCTGACTTGGTGTGGTCATACAGATGTGGTGGACCCTGTAACAAGTGTTCTGATGGGAGATGTCTAGGTCATGATAACTCCAACATCAGGAACAGATTAACACTGCCTTTGGGAATGGGTCGGGCCTGCAGACCAGCAAGAGATGTAAAGTGATGAGCTTGACTCCTCTCCCTTCCCATCATGAGGTCACTCTGCCCCTCTTTCCCATGCTTCTGGCCTGATGCTACCCACCCACTGTAACCCAGTCAAACGGTCCTCCTGACCCGAGGCTGAGCTGACCCTAAGCTTCTCAGTCTCCAAATGTGAGTTAAATGCATCTCTTCTGTATAAAGTGCTCAGTCTCAGACATTTTGTTATAGTAACACAGAACAATTAGGGGAATTGACCAAGTAAGCAAACATATTAAGGATAAGGTGGAGCTGGGATTCTCACTGTCAGAGAAGAGGGTCACAAATATGGAAAAAGACAAAACCAGGATGCATCCCATGGTGCTGGATAAAAATTAAGGATACAGTGAGACCCTGTCCCCAAAATAGTAATAATAATAACTCAAACATTTTGGTTTTCAAGATACCTCCCAAAAGCCAAGAAGATATTTCCTTCTCTTCTTCAAATAAAAGGTCCAGCAAGATGGCACCTCATTCATCTTCCAGGGCCTCCCAGAATCTCACCTTCTATTTTCCTTATCAATACTCAGCAGCATAGCCTGTCCTGAAGCCTAGCTCCAAGCCATGCACCAGCTCTTTGGGGATGTGGACAACATAAAGGTCCTCACTTGGAAGACAGCTAGCCCTTATGGGTGGTGGGGAAGGGCGATTACCCTGCTCCCAAGCAGTTCCCCAGAGGATTGCTTCTTGGCCCAAAGGACTCTGATGGTCAGGATTTGCTCCATGGCAAGGAGAATTCACAGACCCCCTCTGTGTGCACCCCGTGACTGCCATGTTCATCCTGTGACCCTCTCCTCTTCAGTTTGCTGAGTTCCACCTCCTCCTAGTGCTGAGTGAAGCTGCGTCTCTAAATAGGGCCAGAGGCTCTGCCCAAATTTGGAGAAACATTTAAGAATTAGTCAAAACTGAAAGCTTTGGCTCCAACTCAAGATGAGAAGGATAAACAAACCCTGCCCAAATGGAATCTAGTTTTGATGTGTTTTCCTCCCTAATTAGAGCCAAATGTCTGAATATTTCCCAAATTGCCCTGCTGACATCCACTGCATTATTTTGCCTTGCAAAAGCAAATGAACCAAAATTTACACTGTTAATCAATTTATTTGAATGCATTTTGGGTTTTCAGTTTATTTACTATGGATGTCATGAATCTTCACCCAATGAGCTCTGTGATTGGTGACCTTATTGATATATCTGTTTCCAGGGCCACTCGAGGGGCCTTGGAAGCCACCAATAGTGGAAATGGCATCACATACAGGTTTCTCTGGATGTGTTTCTCTCCATCGTGAATACAGTGGAGACAGGGAAAAGGACTCCAGGATATTAGGGATTAACGCATCCGTAGTGGGTAAAATCTCCCTACAGATCGTATTAAAAACTAACACCAGTGCTAACAGTCCCAAACACCTCAGAAGTGCATGTCAAACTCTGCTTTTCCAAAACTTGAGGTGAATAAGCTCTTCCCAGTCTATAAATCAAGAAATGAAGACTAGGAGATGTTAATGGGATTTCTCTACTATTGGAGGAAGGGTCAAACTGGGAGGGGCCTGAATTAAAGCTGATCTTTGACGATCTAAGAAGTCAATCTCTGTGATTATTATGTTTAATAACTCTATTAATGAGGGGTATTGGCAAGTTCAAATGAGTTTTAAATTTTATGAGGCTATGGAATGCCTCAAGAATCATGTCTGTGGAGGCTGGGAATTCCAGAAAATAGGAGCTCAAAAGGTTAATTTATTCTGATAGAGGATGATTAATACAAGGTAAAATTACCTATCTCTAATTAACCGAATCCATTACTGAATTCTTAACAAGAAGGATGTGGGTCTCAAACCTGTCACTCAGAAACGATTCAGCCAAGGAAGTCGGGATGGCACCACCATGGAACCCCAGTCACGGCGTTTGTCAGCCACTAGGAACGCTTAGAACTGTGCTCATATTTGAGCCAGAACCTGAAATTCTACTTTATTTAAATCTATGAGGCTTCAAAGTAATAACACCCTTTAAGATCAATTTAAGTTAAAAAGTCTTTAAACGTTTATTTTTAAGTTATCCCAATCTCCTGTATCCAGAAAGGTCTGATAATAATAATCGCTAAACCATGATTCCCACAGGCCGCATCGCCCTCCAAGCACCGGTCACCTCCTCTCCACCGCCCGCAGGGTCCACAGCAATCTAAGCCATTGACGGTATTTCTGAGGACCGCGAAGCATTCGTGCTGCTTGGCGGAGCTATGAACTCAGAAAAGTGAATGGAAAGAGACCGTATTGTGGGGAGCCCAAGGAGAAGGCTGAAAGCTTCCACCCCATTCCCAGTTGTTTCGTTGTTAGAAGGGAAAGACTCCAAAACTATACCCCGTCTCCCTCCAAAGTGACAACCAAAAAGCAACAGTTTTGGGGTGCTAACTAGGCTGTGCGGCTGGGGCCCCATTAATAGGTTTGGAGCGCTTTCTGGAAGAGACACACAGCGGACAGGCAGCACCGGCTAGTAATCCCAGCACTCAGGCGGCTGAGGCCAGTGTGGGCTATGCAAATCCCAGGTCAACCCGGATTACAGAAGACCCTGCCTCAAGGAGGAGGTGGAGGAAGGGAAGAAGGAGGGGAGAAGGAGGTAAGAGGAGGGGAAGACACAAGCTGGCCCTCACTTTCTCTGCTTTCCAGTAAGAGGACACAGCAGGAAAGGTGCTCTCCACAGACGCCAAATCTCCCAACACCTGGCTGGCCGAATTCCCGTGCCCTGGAACTGTGGGAAACACATCGCAGCCGGGTCCGCACCCCCCACCGCGGTTTTCTAGGACCGCAGCCTGAACTAGACACTCACTGACCACGGCATGCAGAGGAGCAGTTTCACGTTGGGTCCAATACAAAGGAAGACAGACGTCGTGGTTTAGACCTACCACGGCCTCACAGCCTCTGGGCTCGGAAATTGAGCGGATAATGCGGTGGAATGCAGGTTTGCTGCCGGGAGGCGGGGCTTGACCTGAGACAACGGTCTGCCCTGCTGTTTCCTGACCCACCAGGTGAGCGCCTTCAGCTCCGCCACGCCCTCTGCCATGGCCCCTTCGCAACTCCACGCCCCTTCGCTATTCTCACTCCAGGTTCCTTAGGCCACGCCCCTCCCTGCAGGCCACGCCCTCCCTCACCACTGCCTCCGTCACGCCCCCTTTCGACCACGCCCCTTTCCTTCGCCAAGCCCCCTTCTGCCAGTCCGCGCCCTCCCCTCACTACTATCTCGGTCACGCCTCCTTGGACCACGCCCCTGGCCACCACGCCACGCCCCTCGCCTCGCTACTCCTTCGGTGGGAAAGTGACTCAGAATGAAGCGAAGAAGCCTGCAAATGACAGGACGTGTAAGACCAGCAGCAGCCGTGACTCGCGCAAACCCTTGGGGGAAAGGCCCTCCCCACCCGCAGCTCACCCCCTCCTGGAACACCCTGATGCTGCTGCTGAAGGAGGACTGGAAGCGGGTGCAGGGAACCCGAGGAACTGCGCGGGAGTCAGACGCGATGGAGCTTTACCCCGGAGTGAAATTAGCTAGGCTGGCTTCGTGTTTTTAATAACAAAGCAATGAGAACACTGTGGGATGCGAACGAGAAACTGCCTTAAGAGAGTCTACAGAGCGCCACTGGGAACAGTGATTGGCGGGGGAAAAAACATTAGAGTATTAACACCCACCCGCAGAGTCTACTCAAAATCGGTCGCGCTAACACTGCTGGCTTTCCCTCGCCTCGGGAGGGTGCTGGGGAGCCTGGGAGTTAGAAACTGATTACAGCAGGCGAGGAACACAACAGCAGAACAGACAAAGTGGATTCTGAAATGTGGGAATTAGGGAAGGAGGTTTGTTTAAAGATTTTTAAAAATTCATATTTGATTTCATTATATAAATTGAAGACACATATTTACCTCCCTCTTTCCCCAAAAGATGTTTATAAGACCTTGAAGCTTTCAAAGCAGTGTTTTGTATTTTACCTTCTGAGCAAGAGCAGAAACTCACTGCTCACTTTTCCACCCACTGTGTCACTGACAGAAGCTAAACCACAGGATATTATTTCAAGTCAGTGTGTGACCTCTACAGACGTCTCCCCTGTTCTGTTCTAGGTAGCAGTCTCTCACTTGTTACTCCATAATCATTTGGATTTTGGAGGAGAGGAAAAGTGTTATTTTTACAGGGCATGTCTTTCCTTTTTGTGATTAAGAAAAATTAAAGAGTCAAAGCAATTCAGTGACTCAATGAGACCTTATCTCAAAAACAACTCTGTTGGTGTCTCCCGTATTGATCAGATCAGATTGTTGGTGTCAGTCTCCACTCATGGACTTGCTGACTGATGGACAAGTATGTGCCCGTATACATGTGGATTGCTGCAATTATGCCTGTATGTCATGGCTGTCTCCAAGGACATGGCTTTGAAGTACCACATTCCAGAACAGGGCATACACATGCTGCTCCGAAAGACTCGGATTTACCTCAGAGGAATGGCTGATCCCAGACCTGGGGTAAGGAAAGGATACAATGAGTCATATGCCAGACAGAGAGAATCACATGATGGGGGCAAATCAAGAGAGTACTTTAGTGGAGCGTGGAGGTGCACACCTATAATCCCAGCACTCAGGAGGCTGAGGCAGGAAGACTGCCACAGATTTAAAGTCAGAGCCAGCGTAGGCTCCATAGTGATTCCCAGGCCAGTCTGAGAGGGAGCGTTTTCGTCACTTTAAGTGGGTTTCCACTGCCTACATGGTGCATTACTAGGTATCAAAATAAATGATACCGGGCATGGTGGCACACACCTATAATCCCAGCACGCTGGAGGTTGAGGCAAGAGGATTGCTGCAGAGTTCAAGAAAGTCTGAACTACACAGTGAGACCTTGTCTCAAAAACAAAACATAAAAAATAACAGTCACAAATTAAGGCCCATATTAATCTATGATATAACTAATTAAAAGCTTGGTGAAGAATGGGCTACTTACACAGCATCAAAAACTCCGTCACAAATTACTAATTACCACAGGAGAAAATAACTTCCCAGGTGAAAATTCTAAGGGCCACATCCTGGACAAAGAAAAGCTGTGTGTCCCTGATAGGATGCAGAAGACAGCACCCCTGCTGGGAGGTGTCCCCACTAAAACCTGGTCTCTCGGCCTCTGAACAACCACGGAGAGTGACTCTTCCCTCTGCCCTGTCAGGACGGTGAGTAACAGCTGTATCTCCAGGTATTTCATCTAAGAGTGTCCTGGTTTTTAACCGACTGACACTATGTTGGTTCATTTTATGGTCAACAGGTCCGAGCCACAGGACACCTAGACGCCCAGTCCACTGTCATGGTGCTGCCATACCAGTCCTCACTTGGGCTGAGAAAGCAGGTGGCTTCGACAGTGTCCACAGATAACAGGCTAGAAAAGGCTCCATGCATGCTCAGCCTGCTTGGGCCAGCTCTGACTGTCTCCTGCCCACAGAGCTCCTGGACCCCAGGCATGGCTGCATGTGCCTGGTTCAGCCACCAGTGCTCCTGGGCTCCCATTCTGCAGATGACAGGCCAGGCCGGGGGACTCCTCAGCCACCATGCTGGGAAGCAACACCTTACAATAAGTGACAAATCTCTTTACATCCTAAATGTTCCCTTGTGTTCTGCAAAATGAGTGGGCTGTACTGCTCCAAGTAGAAAACTCATTAAAGACAGGAAAGACCATCTTCCTCTTCCCAGCTGAAGGGTATTTCATTTGTTGCTTGTCTGTTTGTTTGGGTACCGGGAATTGAACTTATGACCTCATGCTTGCCAGACAGGAGCTGTGCAGCTCAGCTACATTCCTGGCCATGAAGGGTATTTTAAAAGCATGAGAACCATAGCCAACACGTGGCTCTGAAATGGATGCTTTTGCTCTGGAGGGGACATTAAGACACCTAACCATGCTCACTGGGGTTGGAGAACCAGATGATAGCAACCTCTGAGGTCAGCGGCTTCTCCTTTCCCCTTGTACCCCAAGCTATGAAGGCGGACATCCTCATTTGAAGGAAGCACACAGTAAAGGGCTTGAGGTCGGGAGCATCATGCTGGCCAGTGACTTTGAAATGGTCCAGGAAACAAGTCGCTACTGTGCCTGCATTGTTTCTGTAATTGTCTGATTATTTCAAAATATTTTTTTTTTTTTGGTAACTCAAAAGGTATAAAAACTTATTCGGAGAAGTCATAGCAGAAAACTTTCCCAATCTACATAAAGATTCAATGTACAATTAGCAAAAGCATACAGAACCCAAAGAGCCAGCACCAGAAAAAACTATGACACATTATAATCAAAGTTCTAGACATTCAGCAGCAGAGAACACTGGAAGCTGCTAGATAAAAAAAATAACAGGAGAGTGAATAGAATTAGGAAGAAATAACATAAAAGTAATATGAAAAATATAAAAAGAACAAAAGGACAAGACAAAAGAAACAAGCCCCCAGAAACCAAACAAAGGGGAAAAATGAGTCAAAAAATTCCTCTGTGTTGAGTTGTTTGGGGAAATCATTTCTTTCCAAGTCTTGTGGTATCGAAATCCACTAAGTAGAGGGGAAAGATAGTGAGTCACAACTAGGGCTGTTTTGTTTCCATGCCTACCTTGTAGTGGATAAATTCTCAGTGCTGCCCCACAGTGATAAATACGTAAGGAAGACGCACGCATGCACAAACAGCACAGGTACAGAAAGACAAACTCTTTATGATCTCTCATATGTGTTGAATCTAGAAAGTCTAATTCATACAAGAAAAAATATATCCGTCTTAGTGTCATCACTGAGAAAATACCCAACAGCCACAAAGTAAAGGAAAAGAGGGTTTTTTTGGCTTATGGCTTATAGAGACTTCAGTCCACAGTCAGCTGGCTCTGAGGTAGGGCAGGGGAGACCGAGCTCATGAGCTCACGGCACGACAGCGGGAAGCAGAAGAAAAGGAGTAGAAGAGATGGAGCCACCCAGGCCACACCCCAGGGACTCCCCTCCTCCACCAGGATACACCTCCCCGCATCCCATTTAGCTCTGAGATCATCGGTGGAGTAATCAATCCATTGATGAGTATCACACACACACACACACACACACACACACACACACACACGACCCAGTCATCTCCCGAAAGCTCTACCTATGAGTGAGCACATTAGGTTTTTTTTCCAAATCCATTTTATTTCAAAGAGAAAAAAAATTTCAAAGCATGTCAATTGGGGGCAACAGCGGTCCACACATTACACATTGTCATTCCCAATCATTCACTCAAACATCTGCATTCAGTTGTCCAAACAAGACCAAACAGGATAAAACCAAACAAAGCAAAACAATGAAAACAATAAAGGACTTTAAAACAAGATAATAGGGTGGTAGCAATGGCTACCACCTTCAGAAGAAGAGCCTCCGTAGATGCCATATTGAGTACTGTTATCTTCTGAATAGATGATCAGACTACCAGCTTCAGGCCTGCAAAGTCAGTGACACACTAAACACTAAAGCAATAAGCTCCATTTTACTTCAGGAGCTGTCCTCACGGCCTGTGTTCCTCCAGATCAGTGAGTCACTCACGGGGGTAGGGGAGGACCTTGGCTCTGCTTGTTTCCCATCCCAAGTGCCAGTAGACTGGCATCTGGTTGTCCTCCTCATGGCCCATGCATGGCACTAACTCACAGGAACTGATTTCTTGATGATAGCCATTCTTTTTGGGGTGAGATGGAAACTCAGTGTTGTCTTAATTTGCATCTCTTGCAAGGCCAGTGCTGTTGAACATTTTTCATGTATTTATTTGCTGCTTTTATTTCCTCATCTGAGAAGTGTGTATTCATCTCAGATGCCCATTTTTGGATTGGGTCATTAAGTCTGGGAGAACTGATTTTTCTGAGTTCTCTTTATGTTCTTGATAGTAACCCTATGTCTGAAGAACAGCTGGCAAACATTCTCCCACTCTGTGAGTTGTCTCTTCACTCAGTAGTTTCTCTTTCTGTGCAAAAACTTTTCAATAGGATGGGGTCCCTGTTGTTGAATTTTTGTGATAGTTCCTGTGCAATTTGGGTTTTGTTCATAAAGTCTTTCCCTAAACCAATGTCTTCAAGAGTTTT